TTGATAATAAATTATAACTTATTAATAAAACAAATAAAAATTATGATAAAAAACAAATCACATAATATTTAAAAAATAATAATTTTCTCTTTTTCAGTTATTAAACATTTCTTGTGTAAGTCTTTTTATAACAATTAAAGTGTTTAATTTTTAATACAATCAAATATTTAATCTATGTATGATAAATTGTTTTTTTTTTTCATATCGGTTCAAATATCGGTTTTAAAAAAAAAAACGATACCGATAAAACCGATATTGTCAATATTGGCCGATAATCAATATCGGTTTGTATATCAGCCCTAAAATAAACCTTAGATTTGAAGCMAATAGCAACCTTACAGTGTACAAAAATATTTAATGTTTTTTATATTTTTTTATATTTTAAGTATTAGGTTTAATATAGATAATAATATTCATCATTGTAGCGACAGGCACTGATTAGTTGATCAAAACCTTGGTTTTTATTTACCGGAATATAAAAATAAAACCAAGAATTAAATTTATTAGGTATGACAAAATGTTTTTGTAGTCACATTTACATCATTAAGTATACTAACCTTGGTTATTTGTATTGTATTATATCTTTTAACAAAAAAATAGGCTCCATTTATTATGATATAGTCGAGTTAGGCTCATGAAGACTTTTCTATAATTAATGTTTATATTAATATGATTTTAATACTTGCATTCAACAAAGTATGAYAAATTAATAACAATTATAAAACACAATGAATTATAAAATTATATTTAAACTAAATAGTAGGATATTTATTAAAATGTGTTACTAAACATTTAAATTATGACAATATTTTCATTGAGTCCACGGTTTGTTAGATTCATAGGCGGCATCTAGGGGGGGGCATTAGGGTGCAGTTGCACCCACGAAAATTTTTTTGGGGGGCAAAAGAATCATTTTGCACCCACACACAGACAATCAATACAGTAAAAATATTTTAATTATTTTGTTGTTAACAATTATACTGATATAATGTAATTTTGATAATAAAAAAGCTGGAAAGTGGATGTCGCTCTGCTGTTCAGTAGGTTACAAGTGGGTTACTGTAATGAATGGAATTAAATTTGAATCCAATGATATTATA